CCCCCCCCCCCCCCCCCCCTTGTGCAAAAAACTCAAAACTGCCGTGAACAGAACAACGAACGGCGCTTCGCGAGGATCAAGACCCAGTCTACACGAACACACTACACAGAACCCCACAACAGACGGGAACTGACCAAGGCAGGACATTTAAAAAAAAAAAAAAACTGAGCCACCAGCGGCAAAGTAGGAAGGACGAAACGATTGGCCATCGGCGATCGGTCCTGTCGGAACATCCCTCGAGGACGCGTGGTCAATGGTCCAACCGCTAAAACATGCAAAGCATGAGTATGCCCCACACCCCCCATATGTTCGGTCCACCCCTTGCCTGCTTGGCGGAGACGAGGTACTCCGGCGTGACTCCGAACCTTCCCGACGCGACTTGCTTGATCGCAGACGCCGCCAGGTCGCCGTTCTTGAGCTCCTTGAGGTGAGGGAAGGACGTGGACTCGCCGCTCTCCGCCGATACGTCCTCGATGGGACGGAACCTGACCGGGTCCTCTCCGCCCTTGATTTTTTAGACAACAGGGGGGCGGGGTTACAGACACGGCGCGAATTGTTGTTTGTTGTTGTTGTCTTCACAAAACCGTTTCGGTTTATGCTCAGCACCTTCTTGAGGGGAAGCGGGGGGAACAGACACGGTGCGAATAGTCTCAGTGTTGTATTTGTTGTGGGTCTTTACAGTAAACGCCAACTGTTCCAACAAAGAAAAAAAAATGTTGCTGCTGGTTGCTTCCAAATGAAAAATCAATTGTTTTACATTCCGGTTTCTGCTCAGCACCTTCTCAGAGAAGAGAGTTGTTGTCAGGACAAACAAAACGGAAGGCCCCACCGAAAACATGAAACCATCGTGTAGAAAAAGGGGGCGAGATATCCTAGTCACCAACACAGGCCGCGTGTAAACAAGCGCCAAACACACAGACGACCACGCTAACACCACATAAATACAGAGGTGCATAGAATCAATAAACCAAACACGGTGGCGTCATTTCATTGGCCCACCAGTAAGCGCGGTCGATACCTCTATTCCTCTTGAAACATGCACGCGCATAAACCGAAACACACGGGAAAAGCACAGGGCGGCACTTTATTCTTACCTCGCCCGAGTTGGATTTGCCCCCGATGCGGTTGAGCGCCACCGCTAGCGTCTCATGGGCCTCCCGCGACAAGGCACCCAGGGACATGCCACCGGTGCAGAACCTGTTTCATGAAACGTTTAATAGGAACCAACAGGAACATACAGCAGGGCAGGGGAGTGCAGGGTCGGGCAGGGGAAGGTTTGGGGGATGTACTATGAATGCATACATTAACTCATATCCTGCATGATCGCGCGTCAGTCTAGAGACTAAATCGCACCCGAAAAAAAGAGCTAAGACGGACTACAAAGGGGTTGGGTTCTCGTTCAATCAACATGTGTGTGTGTGGGGGGGNGGGGGGGGGGGGGGGGGGGGGGGGGGGGGGGGGGGGGGGGCAAGTGTGTGCATACGTTCAATGTGTCACGACCGTAGCGTGACAGGGAGGTAGGGCTGGCATGTACCAATTGCAAAATACAGAAGCTTTCCCTTTCCCGAGGATAAACACGGCCCAACACATTTCATTTTGAGCCAAGTGTTAAATGAGCACGTGAGATAACGTAGAGCCTGTTTCCCAAGAATAAAAAACAAATAATGGATCGGAGTGTTCTCATAGTCGTGCATGCCGTACAATTGTCGTTAGGCCATTGACCTCGCATTCCTACAAAGCCGGGACGGACCACGCCGGGTTCTCACCGGACCAAGCTCTCACATCACTGGGGGGGCGGGGAATCACAGCAGGAGCAGATGCGCAGGTCTCTCACCGTCGCATGATGTCCTCCGCCGGTTCCACCTCCTCCACGGGGATAGCTTCGCGACGTCCGGGGCCGTTGAAGTCCAGCAGGTCCCTCAACGTGGTCACCGGGCGGCTTCGGAGGGCCTGCATGTACAGGTCGTACATGGAGTAATCCTCCGACCTGATCGCCTGCGGAAGAGGGCAACGAGGAGTGTGAGAGTGAGTTGGGGGGGGGGGGCGAAAGTGATCGCCAGGCGGCTTCGGAGGGCCTGCATATTCAGGTCGTACATGGAGTCCGCCCTGATAGCCTACAGACGGGGGCGACGCAAAATGAACGTTTGTAGGACAATCTCAGGTCGTACGGCGGACGAAAAGTCCTCCCTCCGTCCGGGGGTGACGCGGTTCGAAAACATGGGTGTGCGCGCGTGAAAAAGTCTGATGGACGAACGAGACAAACCCCTGCCAACCAGGAGCGTTGTGGGGGTGATGGGGGGAGGGCTACAAGGGCGGGGTTGCCTGTCTTTACAGTTCAGCATCGTAGGGATAGGTCAAGAGTTGTCAGATAATAATACGTTGGTCGACAGGACGGTACATCTCGCACGCACCCAAACGTGGTTAACCATCCAACCTCTTGCGCAATCATCCGCTTCACCGAGACCCCCGACGCCATGATCTATTCGTTGGCGACGCCAACAGGGCCACCATCAAAAACCAAAACCAACAATCTCCCGAAGCAGCAACATTCACCGCGGCCCGGCCCCACCTTGTGCAGCGTCTTCATGAGGACGGGGGAGTTGTGGTGGTACTCTCCGCTCCGGAAGAATTGCACGTACCCGTAGTTGGCCAGCTTCTTGAGGCCCTCGTCTCCGAACGCTTTCTCCTTCAAAAAAGCGGAGCCGCGCGCGGGAAGCACCACAAGAGAACGCAAGGGTTGAGTTTTCATTATCAAATGTTTTTCTCGTCCTTCAAGATGATGCTGCTGTACGTGCCACAGTCTGATGAGAAAAGGGTGCTCGAAATCAACGCCTAGTACAGGAAATGTTTTGTGTCCTAATCCTTGTTGTTTGGTTTTTAACTCGTGAAGACCTGCGCTCTACCTGCCCCAGAACTCTGCATTTGGCAATTTCTGACTACCTTGCGATAGAGACATTGTTTTGAGGTTGGCGATTCATTGACAGAATTATCGTGCCACCCCCCCTCCCCCCCCTTTGTCAGCAAACTTACCATGAACGAGGCCGTCTCGCATGCGAGATCGTGCGTCTCCAGCCCACCCAGGCGGGAGGGCGTGCCCTTGAAGCCGAGGTTGAGCAGCCCCCCCCCGATCCCGATCGCCTCGAAGATCTGCGCCCCCTGGTAGGAGGTGAGGAGGGAGATGCCCATCTTGGACATGATCTTCAGGACGCCTGCGGGTCGGTCGCCACGAGACGAATAAAAAAAGCGTGTGGTTACTTTTAGCGTGTACAAGCATTTCACTAACTAAGGATACATGTATACATCGCTACATCTGCTTTAAAGAGCTGGAGAAAATTATGGGTTCTGAGCGTCGGTCGTCATGAGGCGCAAAGAGGCAAGTGTTGTGTGTCCGTGGTTACTCGAGTGTCGCGACGACAATATGGATGTTTATCGCTATGGAGGCTGAGGAAAAAGCGTGTGTTGTAAAGGTAGCGTGGGTCGGAGAGCATCTGACACTCCGCTCGCAGGCCACGAAACCAACATGTACAGCGTCAAACCTATCTCAGGGTGCTCGTACAGGCCGGCTTTCCTGGACAAAAAAGAAAAACAATCTGTCTCAACGGTCAACGGCGATACTCGAGGTTACCATCGTATCTGTGGCGTTGCGTATGTATCACTTGCGACGGTTTTTGAGGGGGGAGGGTTACCTGATTCGATGGCAAGCCGGAAGTTTTCCTGAGCTTGCTCAGCAGACACCTTGGGCAAGAGCCCTCTTTCCATCTTGTTCTGGACAACCGGCTTCGACCACCTGAAAACACCACCACCAACGGCAGCAGCAGCGGCAACA